TTTTTCACTGAACATTACATTAAATTTTTCCATTTCGAACAGGAAGTAGTTACTACCGAATTTTAAAGTCATGTGACACCAGCATCCGTCGATGAGTAAACACTGAACGCTTTCAATAAATTTTTATATACCCGTGTGCTAATTTATTTGTTTTTCGCAAGTCTAGCAGCGGTATAGTGCATACCGTAGTTTTATCGTAGTTTATCAATACCGTTAAGTTACAGGTTTTAGTCGGACCCAACCAGTATGTTATCGTTTTTATAGTCGGACCCAATTAATAGTTTGTATTTACCATAAGTATTATCCGGGTCCCAACTCGGATACGACCATTGCTTTACGCAATAAGTACATTTGGTAACACTAAGACAACACGAAATAATATGGGGAGGGCGATCAAAAAGTGTAGATACCGCCAGACTTGGAGAGGTGGAAAGTTATTTTAGTTAATTAATACAAGTAAGGATTCAAGAGACCTCGAAACCAGTATATTTCTAATCGGCGTGGGAGGTTATCTGGGATGGGTTCACTGGCTGAATTGGACACTAGTGGATTTGCGTGGTTGATACATTTCATGTGGAATTCGTTGTAGCAGTTTTTAACTGTAAAATAAACTGTTTCGATTTTTAGGTATTTGTGTAGCAAGAGATTAGGTACATATCATGGAGCAGATGTTATTTATCAAAGATTGACTGAAATGCCTGGATGGCACGTACTTGGGAAGGCTTGGTACATCTCCCATATTTGAATGCCGTAGTCCTAGATGGGTTTTAGCATTGCTTTGTATATCGATAGTTTGTTCGTCTAGAGCTTGTATTTGATAATATGGCATAAATATATCAAGTCTACCGTTAAGAATTTTACTTTTAGTTGTTAAACTGATCAGCAATATTTTGCTGTGTCTGTTTAGCATTCTAGTTTAAGCGTTGGATCCTAGTACCTGCTGTAATTTTATTCATTTAAGATTAATAAGTACATACGTAGTTAGTCTCATTGATTTTCCAAATAGATAGCCGGATATAAGTGTACAGTACTTCATACACTGCACTAGGTACCTGTAGAACTTATCGAATCTAAATAATAATCTGAAACTACCCCATTAACTGACCTTAATATAACTCATAATTAATATGATAATGATTAGGTAGCACATTTAAATACTTAACATACATTGTACACAATCAAATCAACTATATATTTAGCATTTTAGTCTTGAGTTGTAAAAATATCTTTGCTATTTAGTTATTTTTTTATTTAACTTTCATTGATTTGTTATAACTAAAGAGCAGATTTTTATAGGTTCTTAAAAGCTTAATATATCATATTAATATGCTCTAAAAAAACTCTAAAATATTCTCTAAATATTTCTTAAACTTGTAAATATGCGATAATATGATTTTTTTTTTTCTTAAATAATTCAATAAAAACATTAAATTACTATTATGGGCCATTTATTTAGTAATAAGAAAATTATTTAAATATAACAATTTAAAACAGTTCATACAAAAGAATATAATAATAAAAAAATTATTTGTAAAAAATCAATATAGTTAAATAAAAATAATGAACAACTAGTATGCATCACTTCTTGGTATAAGATAAATTGTTGAAATGGAAAAAATGGATAACAGTTCCATACGTTGGAATATAAATACAATATTAAAATTTTTTTTTCCTAGAAAAATTACAACTCGAGAAATGAATAAAATATGATTTTTTACGAACAATAATTGAATATGTTCAAAAATATGAAAAATAGGCTAAATATTCTCTAACGTTAAAATATGCTAAAATATGCAAAATAAATGTTTTCCTACGAACTCTATAATGGATATAATCATCCATATTTTTCATCCTCGTAAATCTGCATAAAACCAATAAAAATATGTAAACACCTAAAGATCCGCTCTCTAATCATAACCTTATAATTAAAGACCGAACATAAGTGCATTAAAAATATTTTAAAATTGTATTAAAAAGATGCCGAAATTACAATGAAAATGTATTAAAATTGCAGTATAAATATGTTAAAATTGCAATGAAATACATTAAAATTACATAGAAAAAATCGTATCAAATATATTGATTTCCTGTCATAATCTCAGAGTAAATTTTAACAGTTTTATATCGTTCATTTTTTCTAAGACATATTTTAATTTATCTTTAAGTATTTTTCTATTGTGACCGGGTATATTTATACTAAATATTTTTATTTAGTAAGGATTTTTTTAGTATTTATTTATTTATTTATTTATTTAGTATTTATACTAAATATGTTTAAACTGTTAAGTAATTGATTATTTGATTCTTCTAAACTTTTGAGTTTTGTAGATAACTCAGATAAATATAATTTTAAAAATCTTAAACTACATTTTACTACATGTAAACATTTATGTCGTAGTTATATTTTTTTTGTAAAATCACTTTAGAAATAGTGATTTGTATATCTTATCACGTGAGGTATACAAAAATTGCAATAATTGCAAAAAATTGCATTATTAAATTAAATAGGAAGACTGTAATTAATCCGATTCGCATACATATTTGATCAAATTTGATTTACTGGTTATCAATAAAATGTTGCAATATCAATTAAATCCGCTCCTTATTTATAATATAAGTTCACCAATATATATATTATATTACAAATATCGGTGAACTCTCTACACCATATAATGATCCGGCTGAGTTTTTTCTACAACAGACTAAAGCCGAGGTAAGATTTTCTTCTCGTTCATCCCCGAACACCGCGTCGTACGTGGAATGCAATATTACATTTTCATTATATTCTTAAAAAATTATTTCGTTTAACCTACGCTAAATTTGTTTTTCTTGGAACATTTTTTTTTTTTTTTATTTATATATTTAAGCCGCGCAAAAGGCGAGGTCGCGGTCCGGAGCGTTTGAATACGATATCGTTCGTGTTCGACCATAATTTCTGTGCCGTCGGTGCAGACGGGAACGTTAATTCAATAACGGGTGACCGCCGTCACACGATTGCCGTTGAAACGGCTCAGACAGCGCCTGCGACCGGAATCGACCCGCCACGCCGGACAATAGTTGTACACCGCGCGATGACGGAGTCCCGTGTCCACAGCCCGTCGAAAACCCGTGTCGAAGTTCATCCGGGTCGCTCGGTGCATCCCCAAGTTTCAGTACTCGTCGCAACCTAGTCGGACGAACGAACAACGTGATCGAGTAGAAAAACACCGAGATTTTTTTTTTTATTTCGAGAAATAATGCGTCTCGGAACGGGTTTACGAATCGAAATTACATAAGATCGCTTTTCGAATTCTTCCGCTTCCGAAACGAATCGTACCATTGAAAGTGTTTGTGCTTTTTTTTTCTTTTTCTTTCTTCTCCGCGTTCGAATGGAGAACCGAGCGGCATCGGTTTGCCACTGTGCTCATACTTCCGACGAAGCGAACGAGGTCGGTTATCAGTAGCCGTAGCAACAGGTTTTCTTCTGAGTTCTTATTTTCGAACTATGTATATTAATTTTATTTTTTCTTATCTTCTACATAAATGTCGCCGACGGTGTAAATCTCCAATCAAGGATGTAGTTCCGCTCAAACTCGAAATTTGCCATGCAATGTAAAATAGAAAGAGAGGATACTACTCCACTTAACCACCAAATAAAAACAAAATAGATTTTCTCTACTTAAGAACAACGCGGTAATCCTACCAAAAACCCACCCGTGGATGTACAGGTTAAACCTAAAATAACACTAAATCACGTATATTATTTTGGAACTTATTTCGGTGACCGTTTGTTTCCACCGGGCTGTCGACCGAAGCAGTTTTCGGAACCGACCGTGAAACCCGTGGCGCGTCTCGATTCGCTACGAACGCGGAGGCGTCCCGCGAACAGGTTTCGATAACGGTATTCGGGTAAAAATCGTTTTCAGCTACCGCCCGGCTTTCGGGCGTGTTGAGGAAAAATAACGGGTGTCGGCCAATAATCGCGATAGCTGCCGACGCGTGTACAATCGCTACTGGTGAGGGTCAATAGCGTTGGAACCCTAAAAGTGCTCCGAGGATCGGATCGGGCCCATAAGCGCATATCAGGAAGGCGTAGCCCCTCAAGAATCCAGGTATTTTGTGACAAATATTTTGTATGAAGACCAAAGTAATGTTGGTTAAATAGGTGTTAATAAATAATTAAAAGCCCCCACGGGTATGTTTGATATAAGTATTTCGAGCCCTCGTAGGTAAAAAAGATCGGAATCGCATTTATGCTTGGTCCGTTGCGCGCGTACACGGCGTACACGACGACTGGTAATAATAATAATAACAATGCGACTCCGGAGTCGTCGTGGGTGAACCGCGGAAGGTTTTTCGTTGATTATTATTTATTTTTTTTTTTTTTTGTCCTTTTCAAAAGACTTCTTTGGGAGCGAACCATGTCTATTTCGATTACGAGAGACCATATAATTAATACACGTCAAAGTGTTCCGTAAAGCTGAACACAAAATACATTACTTACCACGCGGTTAAACGTAAGAAATATAAATAAAACGTATAAATAAGTATGTATTTTTCGTATAACACACCGATAATGATCGTACCGTTCCGCCGTACCACATCAATTATTTTCATTGCCCGTAAACGTGTGCCCAGGACGTACCCTGGAGTGGTTAAACGTATATTATACTTAATTAGAATTGGGATTTTATAAGCGTCGTTGGAAAAAGACCACGCTATCGGAAGAGAGCTTTTTAACCCCTAAAGCGATCTCTTCGGCACGTCCTTGATTGATGGGTAAACACGGACGCGGTAGGTAGCGATTTCGGGCGTAGACGATGACGACAGGATATCGTGTTCCGATATTTACGCGTTTATCCGACCAACAATTTTCTCCCTTGAAACGTCGGTGAACATGGCCGGCGCACGTGCACGTAGTAATAACACATAATACAAACATCGTGTGCGCAACATTTAAAACGGTACAGCTTTCAAAAAAGTTTGCCGATGCGATGTAGTAATAAAAAAAAAAAAAAAAATTGCTTGGTAACAAAAATATAATTTTATATTAAAAACATATACGTAGGTACACGTATGTACGCGAATACATATGTTGTCTGCGCAATAATATTACGGTTTAACATGTATGTTAATAAAATAAACGGTCTGCGATTGACACGGATCGGGTGTTGTATACAAATCTGTTTTTGTTAGTAAATTTCTAAGCTGTTTATATAATACAAAATTAATCGAATCCGAAAAATTAACAAAGGGGAGGAGGGACGAAGAACACAAAGATTAAATTTGCGTTTCGACTGTCGACAAAAACGTTCGCACGGAAACGACAACATTTCTTTTCTATCCAATACAATACGCTAGATACACACACACACATATATATATATATATATATATGTGTGTGTGTGTGTGTGTGTATACAGAGGTAAGAATCGATGTAGGTATACGTACAATTTTTATTTTTAATTAATTAATTTTTCATAAACTTATTCGTTAAACTTCTTATGCTTATCGATTTCTAGAGATCTTAAATTTCCCTACGAATTAAGTATGTATATACATAATATTATATATATATAAATATATATGATATAATGTGATAGATAATATTTATTATACATTATACAACGAGACGCGTCGCTTGTACGGGTATACATTTTGAACTCCGAGCGACGGAATGCAGTCGCGTGACGGGGTAAAACGCGCAGTAAACACAAGTTCGCCACGACGGCCTAGGCGTCGCCGTTGTTCCGTAAACGGACGAGCCTAATTAAATACGAAATTATTATGTACAAACCGAAAACGAACGTTTCGCGATAAATTATGCGACGTTGATGATATCCCGACGCGATCAAAAATAATAATAATAATAATAATTACGACGTCGCCGAACGTAACTCCGCGGCCCCAATAATATGATATTGGAGATTAAAGGGAGAAACAGAAAAAAAAAAAAAAAACATCGTTTTCGGCGCCCTACAAAAATAGTACGCTGGCGTACACGTCGTATGTACAAGTATAAACATTTATACAATATTAGTAATATATCTCGACGACCAATGTGGTGCACGTGTTGTGTTATACAGTATTATAGTACATATGTATATTAAGGCGCGATTCGATAACAAAAAAGTAATAGTGTTTTTGTACAACGTAAAAATAATTATTTTAACCATGTACACGAAAGTTATAATGGTAATAATAATAATAATAATAATAATAATAATAATAATAATAATAATAATAAAATTAATAATAATAATAATAATAATGATAACAATAACGCGTTGGCCCGACCGAACGAGACTTGACGCGCGTTTCGACAAGGCTCTTCGTTCGGGAGGGCCCGGCAATCGTAGTAGTAATAATAATAATAATAATAATAATAATAATAATAATAATAATGTACAAAATAATTGATTTGTAAAAATAATCGTTGACAAGGTTGGGTTAGTACCTGCACGTCGTAAACATATATATATGAAGTATGTACACGAAATGCAGGTAGACCCGTTTCGCGGATCGGTCGCGAAAAATGAGAACGAAGAGAAAACGAAAAGTGTTAAAAAAATTAAGTGTTAGAAAAATGAACGGAGCGCACGAAAAAGAAACGTGCGCACGTTGTCGTCGGTCTCGAAGCGGGAAAAGGGGTGGATGGGGCACGCGGCGGAAGGGACGACGACGGTGCACGTACGAGTCCCTCGGACCTGGCGGCCGGTGTCAGGCGTTCAGGTTCTTGGTGAGCAGCAGGTTGTTGTGCGGCCCGGAGAAGTGCCGGACCAGCTGCTGGAGCGTGTCGAACGTCATCTCGCAGAAGCAGCAGTTGAACGCGGCCGCGGTCTCCTGGTCCGCGGCGCTGGTTCCCGGCGATATCACGTTCCTGTGCACCGAGCACAGGTGCTTGAGCAGGTGCGCCTTCTGCTTGAACATGGCCACGCACAGCCGGCACACGAACGGCTTCTCGCCCGTGTGCACGCGCAGGTGCGTCTTCAGGTTCCAGCTCATGCCGAACTGCTTGCCGCAGTACGTGCACTTGTACTCGCGGCCAGCGCCGCCCGCTCCGCCGCCGGTCGAAGACTTCTCCTCCGTGTCCGACGAGGAAGCCGCGGTCGCGGACGAAGCGGTGGCCGCGGCGGCCGTGCCGGGGCTCCGCAACCGTTCCCCGGGCTCGCCGGCGGCCATGGGCAGGACAGGAGGCTTAACGTCTGCGGGGAAAAAAAATTACCGAGTGAGAACAAAAAACGATCGCAACGGGCCGTGTACGAACCGATGTTACGCGGTGCAATACCGACACTGTTACGTATACATTATCGGTCGTCGCCTTAACACTAACGGACTGGGAAAACATATTAATAAAAATAAAAATAAAAAGACCCTCTCGAGAGAAAACTCCCTCGGCCGAGGCACCGTCTCAATGTGTGCAGCACGCGACCGATACCAACAAACCTTACTCCCGACCCGTAGAAGCGGTCGGTGAACGTCAGTTAAGTAAAACGTTACACATCTCGGTCGTCCGTAGTTCGGACGGACCATTCGGAAAGCATTGTTTTTCGGATTAAACCGCAAACGTATGAAACGGCTACGGATCCGAAAAGAAAGTACCTACGATTTGGAGTAATATTTTATTAGAACGATTTCGACTAAACGTTATTCAATGTTCCTCCATAACCTGTACGTGTCTTGAACACGGAAGATAAAAGGTAGGACAAAGTTCCGGTGTACATCAAATGTCGTATTTTCAAGAAGAGGGGGTACCCGGATCTCGACGCACCCGGAAGAAAAACAAAGGTTCAAAAGTCATAAATGATTTGCTATGAAAGTACAAAGAAAGAGAACATTAATTTGCATAACGTAGTTGTAAACCACTCTTATTTTGTATTTATAATACTAAATAAAATAGTATAATTACTTTATTTGTATTTTTATAAAACTGTAAAATCGCTTGTTTTTTAGAAAAATTTAAACCCTCCTCCACCCACGAAAAAAAAAAAAGTTGAAATTACGGCACTGTTTTGCACCGGTGGCCGGAGTTGGACGTACTAGCAGTAGAGTTTGATGTAAAAGTTTTTTCGGCGTCTACGAGGACGTATAAACCCATGAACCCGTAGCGGACGTGTTCTTAATAATAACCGGGTCCGTGTAGATAACGTTATCATAATCCTGTATCACCAACTGTTTAGCCCATAGAGTGATATAGAGGCGGCGTTATCTATTCATTCTGTATTATCGGACTGATGCCAAATGATAGTAATCATTGACCCCAATAGGTAGTCGATTAATTATGCTATATACCGCTAGGTGGCAGTGTTAAAATATCAAAAGCTGATAACAATCCATAAGATTGTTTATTTCTTTTAAAGCCGAAGTCCAACTCTGCATTTCAATTTTTGCATAATTCACGAAGTTAATGCTTTATGATTTATGTTTATAATTTTATCTGTGTTTTTTCAATATTATAGTAATAGCCCTTTATCGGACCATGTAACACTCCTAATTAAATCAATCTCTCAAACTTATATAAAACTTAAAGTTAGTCATTGTTTAAAAAAATATAATGAAAAACCCTCCCTTAAGAACATGGTACAATAAGTTGACACTTATCAGAGGCCAGTAAGATTCTAAATTAATAAAATTATTTAATTGTAGCAGCTTTTTATTTATAATTTGTATCTAAATAGTAATAAATAACAACATTAAGTGAAAAATAAATGTATTATTACTATGTTGCGAATTTAGATTACTGGATAGTGAATATTTAATATGTGTACATTTACAAATATCTGAAAATTACAAACATTTATATTACCTATTTAAGTATGACGTCTGTTTATTAGAATCACTCTGTTAGGCAGGCTCGGCTCAAGGGGTAGGCGACATAGGCCCACGTCTAGGTCCGCATTTAAAAATATTTGATGTAGTACTTATTGTAAAGGGTGTCACAAAACTTAAGTTTGCTTAGGACGTGTGTTTCAACACTTAAGCCGGGCCTGCTGTTAGGAGTAGTTACGGTTAGAACCATGACAATATATTCAATTCTTTTTTAAGAAACATTTTTTGTTTAACATTTAAATTTCAAGGACGATGAGAAGGTTTAAGTGTAGTGATCTTGAACTCGGATTTTTTTTTTTTGTTCTTATCACTCCGCGTGAATTGGGGTATTAAGTTCATTCGATACAACGTTGCATAAAAAAAATGTATATTACAATATTTTTGATTTTTCAAAAGACTACACTGTAAAATCTCGTCCGTTTGCGCTTCAAAATTACAACAGAACTCCGTCTCTATGTTACTCTACGGTTCAGCCCGCAAGTCATATCTCGTGCGACCCGGTCAGTGTTTATCGGTAATCATTGTCAGTCCAGTCATTATTGTTACTATTACTACACGGTAGGAAGGGAAATCGAATATTCATATCCATCCTCGGTGCCGGTGCCGCAACACCATCGCGGAGGGCGAATATCGTTAATGCGAGACCCAATTAAAATAAAGTTAAATCAAAAAAAAAAAAAAAAATGTGTAGCTATTGAATATTTTACGTTTTTACGATACTATTACGCGTATATATTTGATGCCTCGACTAGAACGAAACAGTAGTTAGCCACTGGTTGATAGGTTGAAGCGTCTAAAAATGTTTGTTTACGATATTGGATTGGACAAAAATGTTAAGCTCCCCTCCCCGCGGATGTGATCAAATACGGATCAGCGTCGATAATGCCGTTGTGTTCGGACCAACGCGTGATATTATGAAACTATTATTAAAAACCGAACCGTCGGGACACGTCGTTTTCCGGTTTTTCGGAGCTGGTTTGTACGTTTTATTTTTTTCAAATTTTCACCGTTCTCGTACGAATAAGTCTGAGAATCGCTGCCGAGCAGACCGACGCGCGACGGCTACGCGTAGTTGTACGTAGGCCGGCCTATCCGTGGCGCCTGAAAAATTTCGCGTCCGGCGACCGGCTCGCGAGGTGTGTTTACATACAACGACTGCGTTGTTGCCCGGAAGTTATGGACTTTACGTTGAAAACTTTCCGCGCGCTCAACCCCTCGATCACCCTCCTTTCCAGCTTACCACCACGGCAATCCCATCACGTTTTGATCACGCAAATTCTACGGACGGGCGCGAAGTTTTCGCGTGGAAAACGCCTTTCGCGACGTGCAACGTTACGTGGGTTCAATATTTATTTTAATATTGTTTTATACGATACACGTGCGTAAAAACTGTAGCGCTTGAAGCTGAATCGTAAACACGGGTGTCGTACCGATGTTCAGTTTTTGGCATAGTTACTCCCCGTCCCCTTAGCACGCTAATATGGCAGCGGAACTTTGTTTTCCTCTTTCCCGACCCCGTCGGGACGATACGGAAAGAACGCGACGTTCATACCGGTCGGATGAAAATATAACGAATGGGAAAACGCGGTGGTAGGACCATAAGAACAGGACCGGGTCGAAGCCCAGGCTCAGTCTGTTGTACCGAACAAAAAGTAAATGTATTAAGATTTTTTTGTAAATCGTTCACCAATAACTGTTTCGACTTCGGATACCTGTATAATTTTTATTTCTATTTATTCGTATAATATCAGCTATTACTGTACCAATAATATTAGATATGTATGTCATGGTAAAATTTGATAGTTTATTTTAAAATAAATGTATGTACTTTATTCGTGATTTTGTTTATTGACTTTATTTCAATAATTAAAATTCGCTCTTTTTTTCATGGTAGGAAATTATAGGGACATCGGAGCCTATAGCGGCACAAACAATGTCAATAATTATTTAAACGTATCTAAATCGCGATCCTCCCTATAGTCATTTTACTTGTTTGAAGAAAGAGATTTTTTTGTGGGTGCCGACCCCATGAACTTTCCACAAAGTGGTCCTAGCACGGGACGGAGAGGGACTGTAGCAACATTTTTGAACAGTACTCGCGCTTTGGGACCAATTTTTATTTACGCCCAGTGGCGAATTTATGGAATGGGGCGAATGTCTCCATCAGAAAAATTTTAACAGTTTTAGGACGACAATTTTATTGAGTGTATTGTTAGTATTATTATTTATTTTTTTTTTCATTAACGGGTATGGTATAACATTTTTGAATTAATCAATTATTTTCGAATAACGGATTATCATATCAAATTGTTTTGAGTTGAATGTGATATGAATACGACTGATAACGTATAAAACGAATTATTACTAGTATATTTTTCTATAATCGTGATATAAGGTAGAACGTATACTCATTTTTTTGTTGGTTTTTTATGGTACCTATCTACCCGCGTAGATTGTAATTAAATACAAAAATTTTAATTAAACTGTTTAATAAAATGTACCCATGTCATTATTTGGTGAGATTTTTTTAATTAAACAAAACACTTTGAAATTGTCTACTGTTAAACCCTGGGATCTACACGGTAATATGTTATTCAAAACAAGCAAGAGCCATATTTTTTATTAATCAAGGGCGGAAAGAGAAGGTCTGAGGTTATAAAGAGTATCGAAAAGTTGTGGGGGGGGGAGTAAAAATAATCTCGACCCTGGGCGCATATATTCTAAATGCGTCACGGTTTACATCACTATCAAACAGAGCTTTACCGCTACGTGCATACAATCTAAGAGACGGTGTTTTTTAGATTTTCGTTTTTTCATCTCCGGTTATCCCTTACTTCAGTGCTTCGAAGCTTACCCAATTTTAATCAATACATTACACTATTATTTCGGGTTAAGGGACGCCGATCCATGGCGTAGTAGGTACGGGCGAACTGTACGAAAACACGTACCGGTCAACGGTTTCCAGGGCGACCCGTTCTCAGCGAACCGGTACGACGACGGATGCGAATGTTGCGGCGGCGGCTGCACAGTCGTCGGTGGCGGCAGCGGCGGCGGCGGCTGCAGCGGCGGCGGACTGTCTTCCGGCGGTGGTAGCGCGATCGGTGGCCTGTAAACGCCGGAGTCTTGAGATCTGGACCGGCCCATGTAGATGGCCGCCCTGGACGGCGGCGAGTCCCGGCCGTCGTCCGCGGGCACTGGCGCCGCGTTGGCCGGCCCGTAAGGATGGTGGTGCACGAACGAGCTGAGCGACGTGATCTTCTGGTGCCGGAACGCCATCTCGTGGAAGTACATGGGCACGAACGCCGGGTTCTGGGCCGGAGAGTTCTGGAAGCCGGGCTGTTTCTTACGTTTCCTCGGGGTCACCTGCGGACCGACGAAAAAAAAAAAAAATCGGTAGTTATGCGGTTATTATCGTACGTTTTACCGCACCTCACGATTTCGACGGAACACCTGCGAGGTTCGGTGAAGCTCCCGGTGTAGCGGGGAGGAGGCATTAAAGGATTGGCGATCTCTTTACGCCTTTCTCCACCTATTATTCCACCACCAAAGGCGGAACTAGGAACTTTCGAGTCCGGGGAAAATGTTAAGACCACGCCTTATGATCGACCAAGAATCAAATACCCTTCCTTACAACGTTTTTCTAATAGTTAGCATACAATCATAATCATTGGATTTCAAACACATTATCGGCAAAAAAGTTAAAAATAGTAATCAATATCAGATAGTATACCATAAAAACTACACCCTCTACAGTTTTACACTCGGGGATGAATCCCCGTATTCCTACCCCTAGTTCCACCCTTGTCTACCACCACATCACACGCACTAGCGGATGCAACCGCGCATAGGACGGCGATGGATGAATTTCGTTCACTAAAAGTCGGCAAAGCGGTGGCACACGGTTAGACGCCTAACTCAGTATCGCACGTGATATCATTTCGAAGAAGAAAAGATGATACTGTGGGGAAACATGTCACAGACTCGTTTCGAAAACCAATGAATTCACTCGAGGGATCGAGAGACACGGAAAACGAAATATCTTCTATCGGTTCACCGGAATAACAAATTATCCTGTCAAATTGCGTATGGGGGATGAGAAACCAATATTAAGACACGAACCGTATAGGACGACGTTCGGGACCGGCTACAATTATTTTCACGGTTGGTTATTTCAAAGAAAACATAAAAACTTGAGCTCTTGATACCTGAGTACCCGGTTATTACGCGGCCTTTTATTCCAAATGGTTCGAATTTTTGTTGTTCAATGTAAATTTAAAAATAATTTATTTATTAACAAAACTCAACAGTTTGTTTCTAACGTGATATTAAATGTTACCTATGAAAAATTAACTATTCAACTAACATTTTATTAATAACTCAAAAGTAGATAATTTATCATTTATATAATTTAATAATTAACAATAAATGTATGGTAGACTAATAAACTAATAAATAAATAAATATAAAATGTTTTATTAAAAACACCAGTATTGTTAGATATGATATATTAAGTTATTATTTTTTTTTCACTATAAAATATTTGTTTATTTCAAATAGAAAATAAACTTGTTGGAAGGATATATCGACAGCAAGGACTGTACTTTTCAAACGCATAGTCACCACGACCAGTTTCTTATATAAAAAAAAAAAAAACATAAATTAAATTATTACAACGATAATGATTTGGAAAAAAAATCGTTTTTGTACAATACGGTTAAAGTTGGATCGTTATTATTTCTAGGCCATAACAAAAGTATACGTTTGATAGTATACAAGATGAGAATGCAAATGTTTATCTACACCAGTGGTGGGCAAATTTTTTTAATGGGGGGGGCACAAGGTTTAAGAAATTTTAGAGGAGGGCCAGAATTATAGAAAAAATGCATTTTGTGTTAAAGCTTTGAATCATAATATTATAAAAATATTACAGAATTACAGAAAAATGTTACAAATTACCTTTTACCTTAAATAATAATTAATTTAACTTTTATTCGAAAGCTCAACCATAGTAGGCGTGTGAGAAATATGGAATTGTTTTTGATTTTCCATAATATTTTTGAAAGCAGGTTCCAGCTGTGATGAAGCAACTTTCAGCAGTGCGAAAAGGTGTTTATTAGTCAATCGGTTTCTGATTGAGTTTTTCCGCAATTTCATGGTCGAAAAAGTTTGTTCGCACACATAAGACGACGCAAACATCGCCATAATTTTCTGGGCGTGAGCAATTATTTTTGGAAATTCAGCTTTCTGCAGTGCTCTATAAAAATATAGTTTTGTGAAATTCAAGAACAATTGCTTTAAATGGGTACTGCACTGCATTTCAATAATTTTCAACTGCAATTCTGCAGATACATTTTCCGGATCTAAATTAAACGGTATCGAGAAAACATCTATCGATGATTGAATGTTCTTGAAATCTTGAAACCTAGTTTGAAATTCTGTGAAGTTTTTTCAACGCCCGACTGAATTCTTTTAGCTTGTTCTCACTCACTGGTGACATGGATTTTAAACGCAGAAAGTGAGTTAAATCGTTCTTTGCTATGCAGTTATAAAACAGAAAAAGCTGAGTTTTAAATGATTTCAGACAACCCCAAGTCTTATCTATAAATTGGTTCTTTCCTTGCAATTTTTTATTTAATTTATTATAGTGTTCGAGTAAATCGGTAAAAAATGCAAAATCCGTACGCCAATGTTTGTCTTCGAAAATTTGGAACTCAGACCATTTGTCTGTTTTATTCTTTAAGAAATCTTGTATTTCCTCTTTTAAATTCCAAACCCGTTCAAATGCATATCCACAACTTAACCATCTTACTTTCGTGTGGTAAAGAAGGTCAGAATAATCTGCGTCGACTTCAATCAGAAATTCTTGGAATTGTCGGTGTACCAATCCCCGAGATCGAATCGTATTAATTAGTTTTGAAACCACATTAAGTACATGGGTAATATCTATTGCAGCTTTACAAAGGACGCCCTGATGAATTACACAATGTAAAAATACAACATCATGATTAGGAATCTGATTCCGAAAAATACCTAAAAATCCCGCGTTTTTTCCAACCATATTTGGGGCTCCATCTGTAGTTATATTGCATAATTTTGAAATAGGTGCATTTAAATTTTTAAGACCTTCGGAAAATTCGTTATAAATTATTTGCCCCGTCGTTTTTCCTTTTAGCGATTGCAAACAAACTAGCTCTTCAGTAATATTAAATTCGTTATCAACGCCTCTAATGAAGATTTATAATTGAGCAGTGTCACTTCTATCCGTACTTTCATCCATCGTCACGGAAAAATATTTAAAGTTTTCTATACTCTGCCTAAATTGAATCGACAAGTTTGATGCAATAGCATCAATTCGCGTTGTTACTGTTTTTCGCGATAAACTGACAGACTCAAACTCTTTAATTTTTTCTGGACATAAAAAAATCTTACTCATACTCACCTTACAATCTTTAACAAATTCTCCTTCCGAGTATGGTTTGTTATTTTTAGCTATTTTATAAGCCACAACATATCCAGCCAGCGTAGAAGCCTTTTGAGTAGTGTTTTGCTTTATAAACACATTCCGTTGAACAGATATTGTTTTTTTTAGGTTTTCCGCATTTATCTTTTTTTCTGCGTCATTCATCACAGCATATTTGGTTTTTGAATGTTTGGTGTTGAAATGACGAGCAAGGTTAAAATCTTTAAACACCACCACTGCTTCATTACAAATAAGACATACTGGCTTACAGTTGTATTCCGTAAAAAAGTATTTCCAAGCCCACTCTTCTTTAAACAGACGACACTCGGAATCGACTTTTTTATACGCCATTATCCCAACACACAAATTTTCTTTTAAACGATAATTAATATAAAGCCTAACGCAAACAAGCAAGAACATGAGACAAAATTAAAACAAAATTAATGTAAAACGTGCGGCTCGGTCTGTGATAGCTGACAAGTGACGACTGAGTTCACTATATGTATTATACGTAAATATAATATAAGGAATAACGATTATGGTATGACGACAGTGCAAAGACTGATAGCATTACACAATAACATTATATCAATTTATTTATATACATAAGTACATCACACATATTGTTATACGAAAACTACGATAAGGACGCACCAAACTGAGATCCGGGAAATATATTAATATGAACAAAAATAGAAATTATATACCGATTATCATAGTACCCACTATCTACCTACACCACGCTGTGAGGGTACGACCACGCACAGTCCGCGCCAATCCATTTATATATTTAAAACTATTTTCTTCGATCATTTTCAGAATATTTCGGGAATTTTTTCCTAAATTAAAATTATAATGTAAAAAAATAAAATATATAAATTATAAGAAATGCTGGAAAACCTCTGCGACCCTAATTTGGGGGCCATTATTATCCATGTCGGTGGACCCTCGGCGGGCCGGATTAAATATTTTCGAGGGCCGGAGTTGGCCCGCGGGCCGTACTTTGCCCATCACTGATCTACACGAACGTGGTGGTAACGGTTACGTTTGGGTCACCGTTACTTATTCCCGTGCGAAAATAATCTAGCCTACCCTAGCGCGAAGTTTTATGTAGTCTGCCGGGTTGGACCGTATCAGAAATTCACAGGACCCATGTTAGGTTTTCTTAACAGTGTTAAATTTTAGATTTTACCGGTGAACAAAATTCTGCTGCCCCCTTCCCCAATCATTCGGCGTGCATACATCCTATAGGATTAAGAACAGCCTATATATTTAACAATCCGTATAAAAAGCCACTTGCTTCGCTTGCGATCAACTGTTCCCGGTTTAGCAAGCATTTTCACACAATATTCGTACTTAGTAAAAAATAATCGTGTTACCACGACCTACATCGTAACATTTTCAATCGGAAATGCAAAAACGTAATTTGTTTATTTTTTTATCATCGTAAGAAGTATCACCTAACCCATCTCCCTCCATGAACGCCCATGTCAGGGCGAACTGTTACCCTCCTCACCACTGAACCACCGCCCGTTAAAATACGGCCCTGGACGTCGGGTGCAATACGTACCACGTAGTTGGCAGGGTTCAGTCTCGCGTCCTTACTGTCCGAGTCGTTGGCCCCTTCGGTCTCGGGATCCAAGTTCGGTTCTGCCGAGTCCATGTACGGCAGATCGACTTCACAGCTGTACTGGTGTAATTGCGAGCTACGGTACTCGGTTTCCACCCAGTGCGGTTCCCGTTTCGGGAACGTTTGAAAACCGTGGTGATCGTCACCGCGGTCGTGATGATGCGCGTAGTCGTCAAATGGCGAGCTACTCCGCCGTCTCAACTTTCGATGGCTCTCGTCAAACTTTGAAACAGAAAAAAAAAAACAAAAAACATCGATATTATTATTTTAATCATTTGCTTATACGCGATAACAAAACGCGCCAAGGTCTCCGGTTCCGAATGCGCGTGGACGTTTGTCATAATATCATCATTATACAATAATAACACCATGTTTTCCGAAACCTGTTATTTCAATGTTACGCAATAAAACAAATGGGATATATTTTTATGTAAATCGAATATATTTATAAAGAAATTTTACCGTGAACAATTGCGATATAAATGCTAACTAATCGACTCGCGGGCCACGAACCACGATAATTATGTTAAATCAATACAATCCGTCCGAATCCATCGGTGATGCAAAAACGCTTAGAGTATATATTTAACAGTAAATGTTCAGTTTCATCATAATTTACATTACAATCCCAATTTAAACGAAGCCAAGTACTACTCGTCTGCGCGTACATTTTTTTTTAATACCATTTATATTTAGGATGTATCCGAAAGATTTTAGCACATTCATACGGTGCACACTTGATGATTTTCCAGAACTGCACGTTTCGCGGACACGAAAATTTCAGCGTAGCTATCTTGACGTGGGCCGATTTTATTGTATCGTTGTAAATTCGTCGCATACAACGCGCTGTATATTATATTTTCAATGCAGTAAAATATAAATATAAGCTTTAATGTGTTTTCAATGGTGTATTGTGACTATTAAATTTACCTCCAATGTGGAAATGCTCAATTATCGTTAAAATTTCCAAACCAAACAAACCCAAACAATCACTTACATCACATTGACCAATCAGCCTACTACTGTAAATTATTCGAAAAATTACTACTATAAAACACATAAATAATATATCCACATAAATAATATACTGCCAACATCTCAATTCGATTTCCAAATCAAATAAACGTAATACCATCTACCAAGTACACAGAATAATTGAACACATACATACTCCTTTTGAAAAAAAATTTCAGCCCAGGTGTCGTCTTCCTTGATATCTCCCAAGTGTTCGATCGAGTGTGACACGGCTCTTCAAGATTAAACAATTTCTATCTGCACATTGTTATCTTATCACAAAATCCTTAGAAAATAGATCATTCTCCGTACATATTAAAAACGGTAATATTATATCAATAGAAACTGGAGTCCCTTAGGGAAGTGACCTATCGTCTATACTTCACAACGTTTACACCTCAGACATTCCATCAACCAATAACACTATACTTCCAAATTGCGCCTATGATACGGCAATACTTCGAACCCCAACGCAAATTTAGCTACTGACTATTATATTCGATTACACATAAACCTTATAACTGCTCACCACACAAAATTAAAACGTAAACAAGCGTACGTCGCGTTCCATTTACTTCGTTCTATACTAAAATCAAAAATCAGTCTAGCAAATAAAGTGCTGGTATACAAAAGTGTAATCGGACCAGTTTAGTCTTGCGGTATACATATATGTGGACCCGCCAAATTATCTGACATTAGACCATTACAATCACCCTAATCCATAGCTCGTGGAACTATCACAAATTCTTCCTGACGCACTAACAAACAAAATATTCATTAAGACCTCCAACTGCCAACTGTAAGAGAACTATCTGCTAATCATTATAAAAAATTCCATAAAAAAAACCATCTTAATCCGTTAATACATCGAATGTTGTCCGCAAATATTCAAAAATAATTACCCGTCGCTTAAACAGGGACTGGCCTCGTGACCTATTAGACTGTGTTATCGTAACACTGCGGGTTGAGAGTAATATTGTAGGTGTGGCTAGTGGGCCTCTTCCTGTTCAAGATTTCATGTCATTGTTGTCGGTTTGTCTATCAAAATTGCTTATTGTTTAACTTCACCGCGAATGGTAATTTTATTTTAATCGATAAATGAAAAAAAGCCTTAACGTGTTGATGATGATGGTTTTTTTTCTCGTGACCACTATGACAATAATTGATCGTAAGAACGATCGTGATGCAGTAAGTTTTCTAAAGGGTACAGCACGTAACGCAAGTCGTAAAAGACAATACGATCGTTTTTCTTTTCAATCTTGTGAAAAATACGAACGAACGCGGTGGACGGGGACCCCGTTAGTGGATCTAAGAGAAGTGGAGACGTTCTCGCCGCGGGGAAACGGTTAGCGTCCGGACGGCCACGCCGGAGCGCCGCGTGGACCGCACGTAGCGGCCGCGCGCACCGAACCCGAACGGTTATTTTTCCGTTTGATGGACGCGTCGTGCCCCGTGAACAATGCGGCGCACGAGGCACCCGGTAGATCGGGGGACAAGTGTGCGCGCGCGGCGGCTGAAGGGACCGGACGACGCGTTCCGCCGCTGCCGTCGCGCACGTCCCCCCCCGTCGAGTATTGATTTTCAATCCGTCCGTCGAACCACGCGCGTCCCTCCTGCAACAACCTCCCCCCCCTCTTTCCGCCCAGCGATCGTTCTCACCTTGGACGCCCGCCAGTTGGACTGGGTGACGGACGCGTCCTCGTCGTTCTTCGTGTCGATGGACAGGTTGACGGGCACGGACGACCGTCTCCGCCGTTTCTTGGGGTGCGCCTGGAACCGGTACGCGGGCGACAGGTTCTCCGGGTCCGCCCTCGTGGACAGGTCCTCCTCCTCCGACGACGACGCGGTGGACGGCGGCTGCCCGAGGAGCGGCGGCGGTGGCGGCGGCGGTGGCGGCGACACCGACGCCGAATCGTACAGGGCCCGCTGCCACGTTTCCGACCGGATCTCCAGCAGGTTCAGCAAGCTGACCACCTCGTCGAACTCGTTCTCCAGTACACTGGCCTGTCCGGTGTAGATGAAG